TTCACGTGAACAGTTGACCAGCAACAATGTATTGTTACTTAAAAAAAAATGATTCGAAAATTGAGTAAACATCATCCTATATTACCATACGAATGAGACTGATTAGAATGAAACGTGCCTTTTGGAAGAAAACGGACCCGTCGTGTCAAAACGTTTACTGAGAACAAAGGTTAAGGATGTTTTTCGTAGACTGACCAATGTCGTTGAAGCGTGCAGACTATCCAACTGTGCTGCGAGTAAGTTCTGCCCACTACGTGTACACGTATTTACTTTACCTGAATTTGCATAATATAGTCTTCTCTATGTTGTATACACGTCACAGATCCAAGGCCAAACCGAAACCGTTGAAGGCCACTCAAAGTCCAGGATAAAATCCACTGAAATTCCAGGATAAATTGTACCTGAACAAGGCTGGTTTGGCCAGCCGAAATACAGTGCACCTTAAAAAATCACCCTACGTTGTGTCGATTTCCACTTTTATATTCTTCATAAAAATTAACCTGATTCAAAAAAGGACAAAATTGCCTGAGAGACTCGCAACAAGGAACGGGGAGCTAGTGTCCTCTCTCTCTCCTTTGAGAAAGTAGAGAGAAGACCTGGGAACGAGGTTGCTTTGAACGACTCGAGGAGACTACAACATACGACAATTTTGTCGGTTTTCAGATCTTGTTGTGGAGATGTTGTTTGTATTCTTCAAAGTTATTGACTCATTTACGAAAAACTTCGTTATCCTTTGTGCTCAATTAACTTTTCGATCAACTGATCTTCTTTGCATACGGCGACTAGGCCTGCAGTACGAGCGACGGTCAAGACCAAGCTGTCCTACCGAAACGAAACGATATCAGTCTTTTTCTTCGCAGCTAACAAACATTAGCACAATGCTAAAGTTGCTTTGGCCTATTGTAACACTTACTTAAGAATCCTGGGTTTAATTTGACGAGGAACAACATATTTTCCTCAAAATACACACAACTGTCATCCTACCTGGCGATATTCGACGAAATAAGAGTGAGTTGCAGGACGCGGACGACTTGTTTTTGGCACCAAATTAAAACAAAATGTTTCGTGCTTTTCATTTTTTACAATCTCAGATAGGGTCTTTGGAATTATAAATCCCTTTCCGTGAATATTCAGCGCCGTCTGCAGTGAGAAACGTTGCCCCACTCAGGGGCGGATCCAGGATTTTTCTTAGGAGGGGTGCACCATTAAGGAACTGGTAAGGTAAACAAATTTTAAAAGCGAATACGAAAGAAGAAGGCTTCATCTCTAAGGGGGTGGAGGATGCGCACCCCTTGCACCCTCCCCCTAGATCCGCCCCTGCGACTGCAATGCCTTTCCTGGTTTTAAAACATACATCATATCAGGACAGTACGGTTTCTCCCGCCTTCTGGATCCTTCGAGAATCCTGATTGGTCGATTCAACTTTTTTTAATTCAGACACGCCAGCCGAATGCAAGGCTGTTGCAAGTCTTGCAAGTGATCCAGTTGAAGTAGTCGTATTGTTGACGCCTCAAAACGGTAACCTCCGGCAATGAGACGAGTTTTTCGCTTTCATTTTTATTTTCTGTACAAAATTCACATGCGACAAACAATTGGAAGCGGTGATAGTGCACTACTGTCGGAGACTGGGGCTAGTGTTATTGGTTGCTTGATTTCAAAAGACTTGCGTTGATGCCAGGAAACCCACGTGGTATATCAGATAAGTTCAACGGGTGATTTTGCCAAATAGCAGAGAAAGATATGTGTCAAGGACTGGAAATTTACCTTTATTCCGTTTGCATGCAATGTAGAGTATAACAGAGAAGTGTTATGTGATAAGAGTTCAGTTGACCTTGTAAACCAGTCGAGAGAAGTGCCGTAACCAGCTGAGTTTTAACCAGCTGAGATTGATTGCGAATGGAGCTTCAGAGCCAGTAAACCTGCCTGTGGACCTGTCAGTACTTTTTTGTCCTGATTTATTTTTCNAGAAGGCTTCATCTCTAAGGGGGTGGAGGATGCGCACCCCTTGCACCCTCCCCCTAGATCCGCCCCTGCGACTGCAATGCCTTTCCTGGTTTTAAAACATACATCATATCAGGACAGTACGGTTTCTCCCGCCTTCTGGATCCTTCGAGAATCCTGATTGGTCGATTCAACTTTTTTTAATTCAGACACGCCAGCCGAATGCAAGGCTGTTGCAAGTCTTGCAAGTGATCCAGTTGAAGTAGTCGTATTGTTGACGCCTCAAAACGGTAACCTCCGGCAATGAGACGAGTTTTTCGCTTTCATTTTTATTTTCTGTACAAAATTCACATGCGACAAACAATTGGAAGCGGTGATAGTGCACTACTGTCGGAGACTGGGGCTAGTGTTATTGGTTGCTTGATTTCAAAAGACTTGCGTTGATGCCAGGAAACCCACGTGGTATATCAAATTAGTTACTAAGTGATTTTGGGTGATTTTGCCAAATAGCAGAGAAAGATATGTGTCAAGGACCGGAAATTTACCTTTAGTCCGTTTGCATGCAATGTAGAGTATAAAAGATGTGTTATGTGATAAGAGTTCAGTTGACCTTGTAAACTAGTCGAGAGGAGTGCCGTACAGCCAGCTGAGTTTTAACCAGCTGAGATTGATTGCGAATGGAGCCTCAGAGCCAGTAAACCTGCCTGTGGACCTGTGAGTACTTTTTTGTCCTGATTTATTTTTCCCCTTGTGAGATACGCTGGGGAATGGTTATTTCTGAAGGCTAGCGTTTCCCACACAACAACATCGTTTTTAATTTCTGCGCTTGTCCGTACGCTGGTCGCAGATCGGCAGCGAACAGAGAATTCTACAGAAACCGCTCGGAGCAGTCTGCGATCGATCGAATCTTCCGAGAGTTTTCAAATTTTACCAGCTGTTCCAGACTCCCCTAAGTTCTCGGCTCCAGACCTTACACTGGGCGCAAAATCCCAGCCGAATATACTCTCCAATAGTACTCCTAAAAGTACCATCGAAAAGAGATCCATCAAAGCCTTTAAGACAAACATATACCCGAGACACGAGAATTATTGTAACCTAAATTTTTCAAGTTTGTCGTTTGCAATCCGTATTTATCTTCTCCATCCTTAACCATCTTTGTTTCTTTATGGTTCACTATTATTTCGTTGGTGTTTTTCTCTCTTAGTAAACTATTATTTTCAGGTTTCTTTCAGTTTAAAAGGTTAATTTGTACGTGGTCAAAATAACTCAAAATGCCGTGACTGAGCTTCTTTAATATTTCTTCACAGAACAGTGAAATCTTAGTGATCTTGCTAAAATGGCTGCCTACCGCTATGTTCCTCCGGACGAATTTACCCCAGAGTCGCGAGTAAACTGGATCAGCGTGGGAAGGATTACAAAATGGACTCAAGAGGAAGAAGGGATCGTGGATAAGTTCACTCTCTTTCTTGAAGGTGGTCTCAAGATTTACATCTATTTTCTGTCTCACTCTACGTTCCGTGTGCGGTTCAATCCCGATCCGACCGCTCCCTATGTCAAAAGCCGCTCCCCAGCCACGGAGACGGAACGAATTGAGGCGCACGAACTGAAGGTTAAAGAAGAAGGTGGAGTACTGAAGATACGTACCGACAGGATCGAACTGAACATCAACTTGAAGAAGTACGCACTATCCGTTTACCGTGATGGACAGTTGATTCATGCCGACCCAGCCGACTACAACCTGGTTTATGTAAACCGCGATGATGGTGGCGAGGCTGTTGCTCAGTTCAAGATGGCGCCGACTAACGCCCAGTATTTTGGATTTGGAGAGAAGGCCGGGGCCACGCTTAACAAGCGCCGCGTTCCTAAGCAGCATTTTTATGGTCAGTACGCCGGTGGGAGCGAGAAGATAGGAGCCGCCATGACATGGTTCAACTTTGATAACTTCGGGTACACCGCACCCGATCTGACACCCGAGGGTGAGGTACAGGGTCCATTGAATCCCAACTCTCCTCTTTACCAGTCTTCGCCGTTTCTTATCGAGCACAATCCGAGTCCCGATGGAGCGTTCGCCGGACCTTCGTACGCTTACGGGATCCTGATCGACAATACTTCGCAGACGTTCGTGAACTTTCGTCAGGGAGATCAGTACTACTTCGGCGCGCTTCACGGAGAGCTTGATTATTACTTCTTCGCTGGCAGGCACGTGGCTGAAGTGCTCAGCGAGTTCGTTCAGCTGACGGGCCGTACTCGACTGAAGCCCAAGTACGTGTTCGGCTACCACCAGGGAGGTTACGGCCCAAACTACAACACCAAGTGGAAACTGCTGGAAGTAGCGCTCAAGTACCGGCAGTGGAAGATTCCAATTGATGGACTCCATGTCGACGTGGATCTGCAGGACAACTACCGCACGTTCACACACAGTAAGAAGAAGTTCCCTGATCCTAAAGAGATGTTTGACGCCCTGCACGACTGGGGATACAAATGCAGCACCAACATCACGCCAATCGTAAGCTGCAATACCGATGAAAACGGCGAGTACAGTCCGTACAAAGCCCTGGACACCGGAAAAGGAAAGGGTATCTTTGTGCTGAACACCAAGGAAGACGGTAGCGGTACTCATGACCCGTACATTGGTAATGTCAACTACGGGCGTGGTCATCTCACCTGGGGACATTATCCTGATCTGGGACGTCATGACGCGCAGAAGTGGTGGGGCGAGCAGTATCGTGATCTGTTGGACTGGGGATTGGACTTCGTCTGGCAAGACATGACCACTCCTGCGATGAAAGCCAGTGTCCATCAGCCGGACTGCCCTCTGTTGTCTTTCCCGATGGATTTGATGTTAAGTGATAACGAAGAGACCAGGTTTGTGCTTTTTTTAATTCTTGATTTCCACTAAAACTCTAGGGCTTCTTGTGGCATTTTGAACACGTTCTGTGTCCGCAACGAGATCTCTTGACGGAAAAGGCAAGGCTAAACGAAAGGACTTACCCGGGCAGCTTGTCTCCCGTGACTTAACCCTGTTGTAGTGTACAAGACTATTCTTGTGTGACGGCCTCATATTGATAGCGTGCAGATCGTATCTGATGATCAGTCGATTTTAATAATAGAACGCTTTTCACTTCAGTGTCAGAATGTAGATGGTTTTGCGTCACTACGAAGGCGGCTTAAAAAGACTCGCGCTAAATTTCATCTAATCACAAGTAAATTTAAAGCCATTTGACTCGTTCGCAAACTTTTCCCGCGCTTAGCGTCAGCAACGTTTTAACTTCAAGTTTTGATTGGTTCATTGGGTTGGGTTCATTACATTGGTTTTAGTCTCACGACACTCAATTGAAAACTGCTCTATACCCTTTCTTACTTGTTATTAGGTATGCTACAGTGAGCACCCATGCAGACAAAAAGCCATTTGCAAAGATCCGCTGTTTGTACAACTACAATTTGTGCAAAGCTACTTACCAAGGTCTGGAACGCCTCCAACCCACCAAACGCCACTATATCATCGCTCGTGGAGGCTTTGTGGGGGTCCATCGCTACGCTGGTCTGTGGACGGGCGACAGTACGTCTAACTGGGAATTCATTCAGATGAATATCCCCCTGATCCTTGGGATTGGTCTGTCCGCGCAGCCTGTATCCGGCTGCGATATTGGCGGCTTCTGCGCAGCGTGGCAGGGTCAGATCGTGGATTCAGAGATGCTTACCCGTTGGACCATCATGGGAGCCTTCCTGCCGTGGTTCCGCAACCACTATGACAACTACTACAAGCCGTACCAGGAGCCGTACAGGTACCCGGAACCCGTGCCTACTATCTGCCGCAAGTATATCGAGTTGCGGTATCGCCTGATCCAGTACATCTACGATGCCATGTACGAGAACACACAGACCGGCAAACCTATCTGCAGACCTCTCTTCATGGACGAAACCAAACCAGGGGAATTCAACAACGATCCTTATGCGGATGATGATCACTTGTGGGGGTACAATGGCTACACTGCTAACCGACTGGATGATCAGTTCTTCCTGGGAAAAGACATCCTAGTGGCTCCTATTGTCAACCCAGGTACGCCTTCTGTTTTTAAACGAATGGTTTCACAGCTCAGCGCATTTGCAAGCTGGAATATTGGTTCACTTTATGAAACAATCAATCGAGGCACAGTGGCCTTATGGTTAGTGCGCTCGACTTCGGATCAAGCGGTCCGGGTTTGGGCCCTGGCCGGGGACATTGTGTTGTGTTCTTGGGCAGAACATGCAACTCTCACAGTGCCTCTCTCCACTCAGGTGTACAAATAGGTACCGACGAATTTAAGGCTGGGGGTAACCCTGCGATAGACTAGCATCCCATCCAGGGGGGCGGGGG